GTAAAAAAATGAACGAATCCGTCTCAGAAAGAACATATGCATGATGTAAGATCACTCACTGGTTGTACGCACCTTTGCGAATAAGATCATTTCCAGACATTACCGGCAGAATTAGGTCATCCATGTTGGGACAAACTATATTCTTCTCAAGTAGAAGTTGAAGCTTTGATTCAATCCAGTCGGATACTGTGGTCAGATCCACCGATCTATCACCAACTTGAGGGACAGCTTTAATGGATTTCAGTGGTGACCGACGGAAACCATACCTTAAAGTAACCGAGTGAATTTTTACGGACCAAAACCCATTTCAGAAATCATCGTATGGTTAAGATTGAAAATAACCAAGCAGAACTCACCATAACCTATCAGACGGTGGCGGCGGAATATTGACGGTAAGTGGCCCTTCAAGCATTTCCACTTCAACATTGAGTATCAACGGTGTCGAGGAGACATCTTCGATCAGCTACAAAGAGATTTCATGCATGCAAATACACCTTTCCCAAAACAAAAATTCGTGGAGAATGACTCACCTTGGCTACCTTCTTGATCTTAGCTGCTTTCTGGAAAATACTGCTTTGAGCTGCTCGTTCCACCATTGATATAATTTTCTTTCCCGTCCTTTCCTTGACAGTCGCTCTAAATTTTGTGATATTACTCGGAGAAAAATAAAACCTTCGAGAGCTTGAAAACCCACTCTTCAGGGTTATTCTTGGCGCCGAAATCCTCATCGGGGCTACTTTCGGGGCTCTCGGGTATATCCTCGTCTGAGTACCGGGATACATTTCTTGCCATGGAGTCGGTGACACGGCTTAGGTCACGCGCTGCTTCGACCTACAATTAGATTTCTTAACAGAAGATGAACAAGTAAATGCCCAAAAACTAACCTTAGAAGCTCCACCTTGGAGTTTTACCAAATTCACACTCGTTTGCAGCACCAATTGGAGACCGCCTCCGTATTTTATCTGAAAATGTTGAATATAAAAAAAGCAAAAGGAGAGATGGCAAGGTGGTGACAATAAATGCGACCACAAGCCAAAATTGACATCGAACTTTCATTACAACTCCAAAAAAGTCGAATTCATTCGAAAATAAAAGCCTCGGTGTAAAAATTGCAAAAATATCTCCAGAAAAAAAA